AGTTTAACAATATTACTAGTTGCAACTTAGATTCATTAAAGGCTTGCTTTATATTCACCTCCCATAGATTTTAGTTAAGAGAGGCTTTTCTTGCCCAAAACTATTTTTTCCTCGTAATCGATATTTTTGTTAACTTGGATACTCATAATCACAATTTGAAATCCTTATATTTGGAACAGACCATTGATAAAACTTTATGAACATTAAGCTCTTTGTAGTGCCATGATTATTAAAGTGGATTCTAAAAAAGGCTTTTCTAAACTGCATCAAGTAGCGCTCCTGGCGGCTTTTTTATGTACTTTGAGCTAAATCGCCTCGAAATTTCTGATGCGTTTAGAATATTATGCGTGTCGATCTTTTTATCTTGTTAGAAGTGGCCTACTTATGCATTCTACTCTTGTCTATCGCTAACCAAAAGGGGCTTCTTTTGCAGTTTTTTCTTCTTGTATTTTAATGTTGTCTCGACTAAATATTCACCTATATTTTGCTTAGTATTTGCCGGCGCTATGACGAGATCACCAATCAACTCAGTGAGACTCCACCAAGCACAGAAGGGTTGGTTCAACTTCAAGCCTATCTACGTGATGTCAATAATAGCTTGGTATACAAGCTGAAAACAGATGTCGAAGAGGCCGCAGAGCGAGTCAACTTTCTACTTGATTGCGCCATAATGCCAGGTATACACCTATGCTTTGCAATTATCAAAATCATATGCCTTGAACTACTTACATTGTTCTAAGCATTTGGTAGCTAGGCTGTAAAAGAGCTTGTACAATGGGCAATCCTCCCAGTTTTTTATTAGTTTGATTTCATAATAATAGGCGAACACATTTAGCAGTTAATTTCAATCCATTGTGCAAAGCTATTAATATATTTGGTTATCTGGCATGCTTAAGAGAATCTAAAGATGTATCGTAATATTATTCTGAATGCAAAAGTCAAAAAATGAATTTTCTAGCATATTGATTTTATAAATGTTTTGGAGTAAGGTGTCTCCAGTATTACTGCTATTAGGTTGAACAGTATTATTGCCTGCTCTTTATTATATGATTATTTCATACAGAAATGGATAAAATTGTATCTGCATTTATAAGTTACTTATAATAGGGGCCTATAAAATTGTTATAATAATCATAAATAAATGTTACATGAACTTACACTTGCACTGGTGTACAATCGCCTCTCAATTAGAAGGGTTCAGCTAATAAAAGAATTCTTCAAGGTCTTTTTTTTAAGTTATTATATCTGATTATAAATTGTAAAAGCTGACGCTACAGAGTTTGGCTAAGTCAGACAAAATCACCGATTACCTGGCATCTTAGTTGAGATAACATTATCAAGAGTTCAAGCGTTATTTTCTAGAGCCAGCATGTCTAATTCTCCAAGTAACAACTGCGTTTTTTATTCGGCTCTGCTATCTATGCCAGCTGAAGATCTGAAGCTTCACTCAACCCTCTTCTTTTGGCCGGAACATGTAAACACTGTCCTTGATATCGCGACAAATAGACTGGGGGGGTTGCGGGACAGTGCAGAAGAAGATCTCAGGAGTCGTGTTACCCAACTTGAGCAGCGCTTATCATCAAGTGCTGACAAGATTGAACAGATGAAAAAGCGTGAGTTGATTTCACAAGAAGAAATGGCCAAGGCGAAACAATTTTTAGACGATTTTCAAACGGAGATTGATGCGTTTACCGATGAGGCAAATCGAATAAATCAGTGAGTTCGCCTATTGTTTGATCGCATCAATGATTTTTCTATTTGCTAAAAATAATACTTACTATTAAATTTCCTCATTTCCTTTCTGCAAAAGTAATATTACCATCGATTATATAATTAAAAATTATGATATTTTTTTAACTAATTGCTGAATTAATTTATTCGATTGATAATTCCACTTAAGTTTGAGCAATGTGCGCAAATTCTAATAAAATACTTTGTATAAATAGTCCATAAATAGTTTTGTCATAACAAGTATTAAACCCTTCATGCATTATATCGTGGGCTCGATATTTATATTCTTCCCAAGGTCTACAAGTCAATCTTCCAAATCCTGTTACGGCATCAGAGCAAGGGAGGTTCAAGTGATTTCTGCAACTCAAATGTTTTATACTATATAAAGCTTCCACAAATGAATGTATAAAACATATTAACTTGGAAGTATAAGGATTATTCCTGAAAGTATACATTTACCCAAATAAATAGCAATGGCCTGAGTTTCCTCGAATCCAGCATCGTCAACTTCTTTATATACGTAGCATGCTACACCATAATAGTATCATGGTTACCGATAAGGAAATGGGCAGGCGGGGAGCGGATATAATTCGATACGGAGAGTAGCCGATTCTGCGCCCCTCTATGGATCTTTAAATTATGTATTGGTATCTAAAACTATGTAAAAGCAAATGGTGCGCAAAACTATCTTGCATTGCAAAGCTGTTCACAATTGCTTTTGACATAAATGACTTAATTTCTTAACTCCAGTCGCATTTTTAGGTAATAAAAATTGTTTTAACAAAAAATATATTGCACGTTTTGGAAGTATTATTCGCAGTGTGATGCTAACCAAATGAGGGGCCTACAATGAGAAGAACATGCGATATCCATTCGAATACGTTAGAGAAAAAAGAGTCGAGGAGTTTCTGATGAATCAAACATGAAAATATAATTCTTTGATTAGATAGGGCTGCGTGGATTGAGGTTTTGGTTGACCAAGATTAAATGAAACATAACGAGTTAATAAAGCCCAATTAAACCTGTGGCGACCTCTCTCTTCTCGTTCACACTAAAACGGTTATTTTCATTACATACCCTTAGCAGCTATCTTCCAGTATTCACTTAACTCAATAATTACCTGTAAATATCTATACTCACCATTCCTCATTCGTATTGACCTATTAAACCTTACCTTTGTAATGAGCCATATCTGGATTCATCAGATTCTGGCTTCTTATAAGAATTTTAAGTCTAAATTCAAACCTCTCAAGTTGTAAACAGCAAGAGTTGTCTTCCCTTGGTTACTGGAAATCGTCATGGCGCTCTATTAGTGTACGTCGCAGTTGTTCGGTAGGCTATCTTCTGCATCAGCGATTTGTCTTAATGTTAGCCCGTGAAAGGTCCCGACGCCTGTCTCATCAAAAATCTAGACATGGCCATGGTCACAGCGTATCACCATCAACTGAGCCAGACACTTGCCTTAAATGCCTTTCCTGATCCTTCCCTCGATTCTATCTACGATGGTACGAATCAGTTGACCATGCTCACTCGGCGTTTATACCCAAAGCTTCGCCTTCCACTGAGGGCTTAGTTGAATCTGAATCTACCACACTACACTTGCGCCTCAAGAAGCCAGCTTATCTTTTCATATCCGCCATATTTTAATCCGATTAAATCATAAAGGCTATTAAGAGTAAGAAACCCAAAGCATTTTTTAAGAGTTAATTGTAAGCCTGGTTAAATCAATCCTTATAAAATTTAGTAGTTTGCTGTCCAGACAAAGTGATTCGACCTTTTTAATAGCAATATTTGTTAATATATATTTTTATATCTACCTTCACTTTTCAGAGAGGAAGCCTTACTTCAATGGGAGCTGACCTGCTTTTTGCAGCTACATGACCTTCGTCGTCTCATGGATCCTTATGATAAGCTTTGGCGTACAGCTTATAACTTTGACACCAAGAATCGCTCATGGCTTCAGTCACCCTACCACCAATTAAATGCACTAGAAATTGAAAACGAAATTTCAGATATGTTCAAGGTCATCCATAAATTAACTAAAACTTTGGTGGACCAGCCTGGACCGAGCAAGGTGGCGCAAAAGATCAAGGTAATTATAGTAAAGAATGAATGGTTCTTATATCTTGGAAATTATTATTTAATAAAAAAACAAATACCTAAGAAAACAATTCTTGTATATATATTTATTGCTCGATAGACCTGCATACTCAAATAAAATTGATTAAGACCTTTAGGTAAATTTATTTTGTGAGATTTATTACCCTAGGCATTTTCATTTTCTGATCTTATTCACTTTAAGTCATATGATTCTAAAAGGCCAGATTATATGCAAGTTCCAGTTACGTGAAATTATCCGTACCTCATTATCTTATAGTCTCTAGTTCGATATTTCGTTTACTTCCTTTTATTTATTGCTGTGGGTACTAGCAACTTTTCATTTTATATTGGAAAGGAGATTTTGAATCTATCATAGTTATATCTGAGAGGTTGGAGATCGCCCTAAGGTATTGCGCTACCCAATTTTTTCAGTTGATGTCTTTATAAAGAATTATGAAGATAATAGAACCTATTTATGATGCAGGCCACCTAAACATGAAGTGGAATAAATTAAGAATGTTGAGCATTAGAATAATCGTTCGGTGAGTGCAGGTTGTTACACTTCGTTATAGCATACTTAAAGACACTGTTTAATTAGATAGTAGCTGTTAAGACCAAGATGTGACCTTCTGTTTGGTCGCAGTCTCCCTTAGCTTTATTATGTTGGCTTGACCTCATTTTCGCAACTTGGTCGAAGCATCAGGGAGACCTTGTGGAACGTGCCTAGTCCTGTGCCCTCTGTCATATTAGTCGTGATTTCCAGCATCGGACTATTGACTTGGACCCAATAAATTGTGAATATGTAGATATGCTATTTGAAGTGTGATTTGAATAAAGTGATAAAGCAATAGAAATTATAACAAAAATTAAGGGCGATGAAAGATGCCCCAACGGTCGAACAGGAAATTGCCTTTGCTTGTCACTTTGATAAGTTGTACTATGACGATGCCAACTTCGAAACGTGGGAAATGCTTAAAAATATATCAAGTTAATGGTCCGATGCTAGAAATCATGAATACTATGGCAGTGGACACAAGACTAGGTACATTCTACAAGGTCTCACTGATACTCAGACAAAGATGTGAAAACGAGATCGAACCCAAACTATAAAGCTAAAGGAGACTGCGTCCAAATAGAAAACTACAGCATCTTCATATCTAAGATCTAATTATGGTGGTAAGATTACCAGTCAATGTACTCATTACAGCAAGGCAAAAATACAATAGTAAGTCAATCTTGTCATTTGACATTTCTTCCCTGTTGTAAACGTTATAGCATCCCTCCTAGTCTTTGCCATTTGATGAGAAAATATCGTTCCGATAAGATCAATTTTAAAGATTATCAAGCTTCTTTGAAAAAAATTTGAGGAGACATATTATAGGAAGAGGGGAAACTTATTCAAGTTTTTAGATATTAAATCTAAACTCAGGCACGATTTGAATCACATTATAACCCAGTAGGATTTTCTTGAACTAGAGAAGATGGCAGACAAAATGTACAAAACGACATCGGAGTTAATAAAAAGGGGCACCATAAGAAGCTGAAGAAATATGGAATCTATAGGCAGCCCAAGGCCCAGCCATCCGGCAAAAATGAAAACGCCTCTAGGCTGATGGATCTCACAGTAAAGGGAAAGTAGTGTATCTGTCTTCGTCACTATTAACCTGGAAGCCTCAGAGACCCTCCAGAATGGACTATCTTTTGCACTTCTGAGTGAAAGGAAGGCAATCAAAGACATTTTAGTGGTGATAAATAGGCTAAAGAATGTACCTGAAAAATCAAAATGGAAGCTGGAAACGGAAATCATACCAAAAAGCTTGGCGCAGTGCAAGTGATGCTGAAGGAAATGAATATGCATGGGGCAATCGACAAATGGAAAATGAATCCACTTATATGAAAGGATGCATGAGCCCCAGTGACAGGATCTGCCGAAGTTAGACAAATAAGGTGAGCCATTGAGATGTATAGTCAACAAGAAACATGGACCAGCACATAAACTGGCAAAATTTATCTGTCTTGCATTAATGAAAGTGAATAACAAAGTATCGAATACAGTAAGGAACTCAAACGTATTTTTAAAAACATTCAAAGGCATCAGTTTGGAAGGAAACCAACTTTTGATGAGCTTTGATTTACAGTCCAATTACACTAAAATTGCAGGAAACAAAGTATTCACGGCACTGCTGAAGATCTTGGGAAAAAGATGATATCCTGAAGAAGGAACAAATCCAGTAAGAGTCTATAACCTGAAAAGTCAACCTAAACATAATAACCCTCTATTCCACGTTTAACGGCCGCATCTATGAGCAAATATTTGGTCTGCCTATGGGCTCACAACTCTCACATCTGTTGGCTACTGCCTTCATGGGCAGGCTGAAGGAATATTTCAAAATATTACCTTAGCAGCCAACAATAATTATTGCAACTACTTCGCAATCTGGTCACTTGGGAATGGAAAAATTAAATCTTTATAAACGAGGTAGATAAAAAATTCTTATTTAATATGGTTATGGAAGAGAACGGAAACTTGGGCTTCTTGGATGTGGAGTTCATCCGCTCGAAGAAATTTTTACGAAACGAGTGTTCCCGAAAGAAATAGCATACTGGAATATCTCTTAACTACCAGTCTAACTTACTTATGAAATGAAGATTGGAATACTCCAGGATAAAAAGCCTACAACTTAGTGATGCTGAGTTCTGGGAGGAGGAATTGGAGAACTACCTCAGATATTTCTTGTGCATGGATGTCCAGAAAAATCAATCCAGCACAACATACGGATGATGAAGAAAAATAGGAAGGACAGACATTATGTAAGAAACACAAGAGGAACAGAGGAAAAACAGTGGATATGTCTGCCCTCCTGCAAATTGGCTTGGAAGCTGAAGCCGATACTATGGAAATGGAACATTCGTAGAATCCTGAAGGGACGGATAGCACTCTTCATCAGTTTGCCTAGCCAGCATGAAGGAATCAAGAAAATGGGGTACTTCCGAGTTTACAGCATAAGCTTCAAAGGCTGAAAAAAAATACATTGGAGAGACGAGAAGGACAGTCGACACAAGGATCTAAGATCACCAGCGGCTATGCAGAAAAATGGATACAGGAAGACCACAAATATATAAACAGACCACCCTTACCGGACACACAATTGACTGGAGTGCAACGGAAAGTCTGGCTTCATAGGGGGTAAACATCAGAAAACAGATGATTAGGGAGGCTGTGGACATCATCTTTCAATTAAACCTGATGAACAGGTGATTAGAATATGGAGGAGTCAGTGATAATTTTGTTTGCTGCTTGGGCAGACTTGGAGATTCAACGAAGATCTCAAAAGGAAGAAGCTTGGATCCAGGAAAACTGTAAAATAACAGAAAGAAACATTGCCATGGCAGGACAAAGGGAAGTCAAGATAAGGCAGTTGCATCAACTGTGCAACATGAAATCAATACGAAAATGTACTCGTGATTGCCTGACTGTTGGATGTGGGATAGGAAATTATAGGCCAAAGGTATAATTTGGCTAGATCTAGGTCACCAGTGTGTGTGCGTGTGTGTTTGTGCGAATTTTTCATGTATGTCCTTAATAGAAGGAGCCTGGTGACAGGCTTGACCACGGGAGATACCAGCCAACACGCACATGAACATCCTAGTTACCTAGATTTAGATGGAAATGTCAACTTGAAAGACGAGTGGAATGTGATTTTCGTGCTTTTGAGGCGAGAATTGGAAGCGGTACATTTTCAACCCAGCAATTATTACTTGAGCCGGTCCCAGGGCCACTAAGCATGAAACACAATTGGGGTAGGGTTAAGTAAGATGATTGCTAAGCCATGAGTTTGAAGCTTAGGAAAATGAAGATTCCTAGGCAAGGACACGAGCATAGGCATGTTCACCATTTTCTCTAAATCCTCGAGCCCTAGAAATGGCACCTGGTGCCAGTGGTGGAGATGATCACGTTAACGTGTAATTAGTTTACGACAGTGTAAATTCACGCAATTCCCATGATGTTTGTTTAACTATCATCTTACTATATAGTTTATAACACTTTCAATATGATTAGTCATAAACAATTATCGAATAATGCATGATTGGATAGAAGATAACGCTACTTTCATTGGATATTATTAGAGATTTAGCAACTTTACTATAATATTACTTTTATTTTTAGTCAAAATTGGAGAAATTTCAAGTTTTCCTACCGATTATTCAAGTTGTCTGTAATCCGGGAATTCAAGCTCGTCACTGGGATCAGATGAGTGATATCATTGGATATGACATAAAGCCACGCCCAGATACTAATCTGATAACCTTCCTCGAGTTCAACTTGAAGGATAGTCTTCAGCAGCTTGAAGAGGTTGCATCAGCGGCCTCTCGAGAGCATCAACTTGAGACGACAATGCTTCGAATGAAGGAGGAGTGGAATTCGATGCGCTTTGAGCTCCTTCCTTACCGAGACACTGTAAATCTGTAACATAAACTCATTACTTTTCTGAACTATTGAAGTCTTCATTGTGCAAAATATATTTATCCTTTTATATGCAATTTTCTCTTTTATAGGCTGTATACATTCTCTCCGCTGTAGATGATATTCAAGTGCTTCTAGACGATCATATAATTAAGGCTCAAACAATGAGAGGATCACCATATATTAAACCTTTCGAGAAAGATATGAAAATTTGGGAGGATAAACTTGTGTCAATGAATGACATTTTAGATGTTTGGCTCAAGGTATTTATATGTTCTTTCAATGTGCTCATGCTTTCTCTTCTTGATTTTTATCAGAATTTTTAACTTGATTCATCAGTTAACCGAATTTATGATTAATGGGCGCCTTAATTATACCTTTCTTAAAACCTGCGGGCCTGAATTATATAGGCAGCATTGTGTATCACCTTGTCATTAATGAAGAAATACCAAAACCAACTTAAAGGTTGCATTACTTTAGTTAAAACTAGCAACTAATTTTATATAGTATGGAGGACAACTACCTAAGAAATACGAATCAGATAAACGAATGCATGAATTACAAATATTTCACAGCTTTTTGATGGCAGTCTGAAAGGTCTAAAACGAAGTAAATTTTAATTTGCAGCAAGAAATCGACGCAGAACATAAATATCATGGCGAATATTCTTTAAGCTAAATACTATTATCATAAAATAGATTAAATTTATGGAGGGTATCATAACAATTATCTTATATAATATGATTTTGCCTAGGCAGCATGCAGAGCTGCCGAAACATAATTTTTAAAAATTTAGTATTATGAGTTGATTTTCTATAAGTTTGCAATTTATACTAGATTGTCTATTTTAATATTTTTCAAAAGCGAAATGCTAGTGTATTTAATCGTACTAAATCACATCACAGCCGGCAACTAGGTCATGCTGATAGGAGCGTGTCTCTCTATCTCCACAAATATATAATTTTAAATTATTTCAGGTGCAAGCTACATGGCTTTATCTTGAACCAATATTCTCTTCTGAGGACATTCTTGCTCAAATGCCAGAAGAAGGCCGTAAATTTGGCGTAGTTGATGTATTATGGCGCGAATTAATGACGGAGTCGGTACGAAATCCGAACTGCCTGGTGGCAACCGACCAACGTGATATGCTTCGTCGTTTAATGGATGCCCATCTCCTGCTTGAGGAGATTCAGAAGGGGCTCAACGATTATTTAGAAAAAAAAAGGCTTTACTTTCCAAGGTACTTTTATTAGCCTAGGTTTCGAAACCAGCATCAGTTATAATAATAAATATTGGGAATAGATCATTTATTATTAAAGTTATTTCCACCTTTTTTTGCTTTAAAGATTCTGATTACATAAAAGAAATTCGATTACCAATTATTATTGTTGATTGATTCCTAA